TTTGTCTAAGTACTTGATTTTGGACATTTCTGTGCGCATCATGGGGTTAGGTTTCTTAACCAACTCATGGTATTCATCATCAATGCTAATCTGTTCTGCAAAAGGATCATCATGAATTTTATACGCATATCTGTTGTACGAAGATTTCAATTTAGAACTAGTACCCGTAGTAAAACTCAAAGAATTTTCTGTTTTCTTGATAACGTCGTCCATATAGGATGGACGGGGAAGGGTATGGTGTTCTTCAGTCCCACTGCCGGGCTCCTAATACCCTGCACGTTCTAACAAGGGTTTAGTAGTCTTATCCTTTTCTGGTTTTAATGACGGCATTAGCTCATAAAGTTCAGCAACGATGTCTTTAAGTGAATAATTGTTAGGTCTGAATTCATCATCAATAGTAGTGTCCCCATAGCTTGAAAAGTCAGTAAGCCCTAAAGACCCGCACCCCCTTTTCTGATTGCGCTGGGGGTGAGACGAATGGCTGGGGGTTGCGTAATCCCGACTGCCGGATCTACGATAAGCTGAGTGGGAGTCACGTGTTCTATAAGTGGAGGAAGGTGACGTAATCCTTGCCTCGCTTGCTCTGTCCCTTGATCTGGATTTTGATACCGTATGGGGAAGGCGAACGCCTAGGTTTTCTATGCTGATATGCACGGTCTATGTCAGATCTTTTGTCATAGGAGCTAGAGGGAGATTGGTGTTTATCTCTGTACATTGTCCGTGATTCACGGTGTGCCCTATGATGTTCATGGTAGGGAGATAATCTCTGATACTCTCGGTCTCTATGAATGACTCTCCTATTGTCCTCATAATCTGATTTAGCGTAGCCTTGTGCATTTCTGCTGTATGGGTGTGTGCTCTCATAAACAGCTTTAGATCTTTGTCTAAATTCATGGCATGATTGGCCATGCCGGGTTTGAGACACAGAATCTTTTAGCTCTGCTATTTCTTGTGCCATAGATTGCATTCGATTGTCAATCATAACAGACATTGAATTAGTTATCTTGTCCGTGAACTCATTTAAGTTAAAGGGGTGATGCGGCAGAGGGGGAACGTCGTTTTTACGACGATCAGCCAAGCCTAACGCCGCCGGATGTAAGTTAGGGAGATCTTCAAACTCAGTAAAATACATCTGCTCCTTAACTTTGGGTGAGTGGGATGAGGCACGAGGTCTTTTAACCTCATCCTCTCACGACACTCTCTTGTCACCCACATGATCAAAAACCTCCGATGGCTTATCACTTTCCTCTTAATAGAAGTAGAAGCTCTAGTACACTTTTTATAGTCCGGATTATTGGCCCATGCCTTGGAGAGCTTACCAAATTTTTCTTTTGAAAGTAGGTGCATCTAGACTTCTGTGTGCAGCTGCTTTTCTTGCAAGCAAGACATCTGGGGTGAGGGTCACCAGTGACTTGGTGTTGGCCACAGCCCGAACAGACGGGCGTCTGTTTCTGAGATGAGGATCTCATCCCACAACACTTCCCATAAACTAATTACTTACGAGATCGTCCGATCTTCTTATACCCCCGTTCTAGTAGAACTGTTCACTGCTTGCAGACTGTGATTCTTGAGAAGATCAATGTGCTATGTAGTGTGGAACTCAATCACGTCTACTGATGCGCAACCAAAAATTTGTTCCTTGTTGTCATCAGGACACACAGGAAAAGAAGTGACTAGATTCCCGCCTTGCGCATGCGCGGTAGCGTCCATGGCAAGTGATAGAGTTTTCCTCACAACTATGGATATGTTGGCAGTGTAATGGACGTCTGTTGAAAATTTATAAAAAATTATAGTGTGGTTCTCAGCATAAACAGGAATTTATGGCAATGATGTGATAGAGGTGTAGTATTTTGCAAGAACTATCGTTAATTGCCATAGTTAACCCTCTGGATACCGAGGTTTTTTTCTGACGCACATTTTCCTAAGATCAGAAAAGTGAAGGTTGTGTGAGAGTTGCCCTCACGCGGCACTGGATCTACCTCTGGCTATAAAATAACGCAGAGGTGGGGAATATTAAATTTCCTATTTGATGGTGTTAATTTAACTACAAATATTCAACGGGTTTCAAAAAAAGACACTTCTAAGTGTTGTCCGAGAATTTATTCTGCGTTGAAAAAAAGTAAATTTCCCCGCTTTTTATCGTACACCAATTAAAAGTACTGTGCGACGATTTGTTTAAATTTAGAAGCTTTACGGAAACTGTGAGCGAACAAAATACTGCCTAATATCTGAACGACATAACCATATATCAAATGGAGATGCGTATGTATAACGACGAAAACTGATTTTTCTCTATGAGGTCAAAGGGCAACAGAGAGGTTACACACGTACAAAGAAGAGGGGGCATAACTCCGCTATGCTTAGAACAAGTTTGTTGTAACTCAGGTCACTTGGTGAGAATTAGCTGTGGGTAAGGACAATATATTTTCGTGGTGTTCTGTTCACGAGGAACCAAACTATTCCAACACAAATATCGATATTGAAACTGTATACGTTTAGTTATAAAAAAAAAAAAAATACATAAGAAATGATGAAATCGTACTTCATGAAAAGAGGTAATGGAGAAATGGATGGCCCTATCTAACCTATAACTTAGTCCTTAGATTCCAACATTCTCCTGATTGTGTAAGTGTAATTTGACTAATGTTGCATCATTATTAATGGAGCCTTATCATCAAATGTAATGGAATACCCAAAAAATAACACCATAACTTTGACGTCATGGCTAGTTATATGTCTTTGATAAGGTAGGAGAAAGACGACACTGGTACTTTGACTAATATACATCTCCCCTAATTTTCGTTCATGGTATGGAAAATCTCGAAATGTGAAACGGAATTTGACGCTTTTTCGACACAACATAAAATGACTGCTTTCACCAAGTAAATAATGTCTTGAATATGTAAACAATTAGATAGTTTATCGTGTATCTTAATTGGACAAGACACGCACCTGTTTGGCATCAATGTACGTAGTGAAATACCCAAAAGAATATTTGAAGCCAACCTAAATTATATTTAATATTGGACATATATTTGTTCATTACTATGTTATTATTTCTCTTCATCTCGTCTCAGAAGTACACAATAAAAGATGCGAAGAAAGCTCTATTGGTATAGAATTATCAGGATAATCGTATAAGGTTGAACCAACGGGGTGCATGGCATGGATTTTATTTTTATACATTTTACAATTCCTGGAAAAATAAAGCAAACAGTTTAAAATCCTGTGATCACAATATTGAAAAAAAAATGAACCCATTGATTATATAATGGAAAAAGAGAGGAATAATTCGTAAATTGTTTGTGACAAACTCGCACCTGGCGAATCGTTAGATATCACTGTTCTGTTTGTCAAACGACGTTAAAAAGACAATTCCAAGACCAAGACAATTCTTTCAGAAATGTTTTTTTAACGAAAAATATTATCCATTTTGTTAAAGTAATATATTCAGTTTTAGTTATAAAATAAGACGAAACGGCTATTCATGGACATTGGTTATATGAACTTATAATATTGACTATTACACATTCAAAGTACATGCTGCAGTTACATTTACACTTCATCTTGTAGCACTTGTCCAAAGGAAAGATATATCGTATTTGACACTATAAATTTATCAATTCTTATATCAACAAACAGGAGATTATCCAAGGTTCGCTCATACATGTTGTGGCCTATATTTACGTATGACATCATTTTGAACATTGACAAATATCCAAAGTGAAATTAATTGTGTGAGATAACAGATATGCAAAATCTACATCATAACTGAAACTGTAATGCAGGCGTCACACAGTCACACTGTCCCGAAATTGACACCAGATGGACACACGATAAAGGAAATGTTCAAATTCGGCTCTGATCGTAAAAACATCGGGCCATTCGTGAGGGCATCTTAAGCCATCGTATGACCGCCGGTGGAGTGTCTCAGGCTCCGGCAGCAACTTCGTGAGCGGTGGCAAAATCTTTGGCATGCCAAAAAATTGCCGAAAGACCTTGCGAAGGTTCATTTTCGTATTGAATTTGTGTGTCCATTTTGCCCTTCGTAAGGCCATCGTGAGGGCATCTTGTCAAATCGTGTCATCTTCGTCTTTACTTCGTGTGATCATCGGTGCCATCGGGCATTTTTCGCCCAAGAAGACAATACGAAGGAAACAAGAAGCTGCCCGATTGTCTTAGGAAGGCAACACGACTACTGAAGCCCTCGCAATGCCATCGTGTAGCCATCGTATTATAGTACGATGACATCGAGATGGGACCAGGGTGTCGGCGAAAACAGCCGAATTTGAGTAGCTCAAGCGTTTCTCATGTGTCATGGTAGACATGTAAAAGGCCAGCCTCAGAGCATCTTCCTCAGTCAGTCCTGAGCAACTCTACAGAGCAGAAGAGAGTGTAACTCCCAAAGCTTCAATCACAGTTATTCACAATTCAGTTGATGATGTGACAACCAGGAAAAAGAAGGCAGCAGCATTTCTTCTTTTGATGCACCTCAGAGAACGTGATAAGCACCTCTTACAGGCCCAGCACCTCCTCTTACAGATAAAAATTGTCTTATTTCACTTTGTCATTTCTTGCTATTTGCACCGACTCTGTGGTCTAGTGGTAGAGCGTCCGCCTGGAGAGCGGAAGGTCCGGGGTTCGATCCGGGACCGCATCATACCAAAAGACGTTAAAATATGGTACTTTTTATTACCCTGTCTGGCGCTCGGCATTAAGGGGATAAAAAAAGGACTGGTCGGCTCGGAGTCAGTATACTGTGTCTGAGTGGGGTATTCATGTTAAACTGCAGCATGGTATCTCAGTGAGCTAGCATTATAAATCGGCATCAGTTCAGACTAGTACAAGCAACCACACAAACACACACACGTACATGCACATCGCTATATAAGTGCAATAATCTTGTGTGTGACGTTAAACCCCATTTCACCTCACCTCTTGCTATTTGCCTTTCTAGCATTCAACAATGTACTTATCTTGTTTTGCTTTTTATTTTCCAGGGCAGGGGCAACCGAATGGCTGTCTGACAAAAGAAGAGAAAGCTATGGCCACTATAGCCCTCTACTAAATGAGCTGAAGACAGAAGATGAGAAGGCCTTCTACAACTACACAAGACTTCCCAGAGGCCTCTACGATGAGATGCTGCGAAGGGTAGAAGGCAGAATAGAGAAGAAGCACACATGGTACAGAAAGTCTCTCCCTCCTGGTCTCAAGCTGTCCATCACTGTACGACACTTGGCCTGTGGTGACAATTATCCAAGCCTGTCCTACAACTTCAGAGTTGCTCCAAACACCATCTCCCTAATCATTAATGAAGTATGCGATATTTAACTACAGACTCCCCAGAGCCAGGCGTGTAGTGGAGAATGCCTTTGGCATTCTGGCACACAAGTTCCAAGTTTTGCTGAGGACCATGAACCAGAGGCCAGAGACATGCAGAAAAATCATTACAACTTGTTTGATCCTTCACAATCTCACCAGACTGAGATATCTAGCCACCCACAACAACGTGATGTACTTGGAGGAGAGGAACCCATTAGGGGAGGCAAATATAATTAGAAGATACATTGGCCACTACTTTACCTCAAAGGCTGGTTCGGTGCCATGGCAGGACAAGATGATCATGTAATTATTCCCACAAAGCAGTGACAGTAAAATGAATACAGAGACACTAACATTGTGATGATGAGCAAATTATTATCACATATAGCATTATAGTTTCAAGCAAAATGTGTATGGAGTAATAAATTTTGTTTTTGAAATTTTGATTGAAAATACTTGTTCTTTTTTCGACTTATTAGTAAAAAAAAGGCCCAACATTTAGATAGTTTAAAAATCTCAAGTTCAAAATGTAAACTCCCATACTACTTTAACATAGAAATTAAAATAAGTAAAGGATTTGTAAAGTAAGGATAACGGACCAAAAAAAGAACAAAGTGACAATTTTTATTATATACAATCTCAAGTTTCTGTGTGATATTTGCCGCTGAGGAGGCTGAGAAGGAAGTTGGACGAATGCAGCCTTGCGAGGAGTAGGTACGTAGCCCTGAGTAGAAGTGCTGGCTGGCCTTACTTGGACAAGGACTGACATCTTTCTTGGATTTCCTCCCCCTTCTCTCTCTGGTTGGAGACTCATTGGTGTCTTCTTGGACATCTTAATCATCAGTTTCCTCTGCTTCTTCCCTTTGCCTATCCCTGCCTTGGGTGGCATGTTAAAGTTGAATCAGCAATTGAATTTCCCACAGTCGGCCGAAGGTTTTATACCATCGGGAGGTCACGTGACGCCTTCGTGACCTAGTTCGAACGCATCGTACTCTCAATACGACGGTGTGTAGCCATCGCATGGCCTTCGTGTGTCCTGCGGACATAAACTATTATAAAAAAATTCTCATCTTCGTGTTGCCTTCGTGTGTGGTTCGGGTGCCATCGTGTGACCTTCTGTAGGCATCGTACTTGGTTCGCTTGTTGATTGGTTGTTGAACAAGTTCGGGGTCATCTTCGCGCGAAATTAAAAATCCCATATTCGTATGGCCATCTCGTGTTAATTTCGGGACAGTGTGACGCCTGCATGAACAGCATGCTACAATGATCGTGTGCACTCTCATTCAAGGACCTTCACCTCAAAGAAATTACCAAATATGTACAACAATGTTGACGTATGACATCACTACCTGTGACCGCCTTTTACAAAATGGCGTGTTCACTGTCAACAATACGCGGGATTTTACGAGGGGACTTTCGTTAATAAATGTGACATGTAAGTAATCAGAAACATTCTGACAATCTATGTACTGTTAATTGTTGTTATAATTTTCATTGAAACCAACGGAAATATTCAGAAATTCCGATAAATACCGTTGTCGTTGTGCGTGATTTTGCGTCAGTCATGGCGTCACACAAGACGGTAACTTTGACAATATTTCTGTTGAAAATATCAAATCATTGCAATGGATCTTTTTTAAATTCCCTAATTCTTCCTACGATTCTCTTCCCATGCATATTCTGAAAATGTTAAACCAATATCTTGAAAGAATAGACGAATTGATAGCTGAAAATAGGAGAAAATGCTACTCTCTGTAAAATCTGTATTTTGCTTTGTTTACATTTAAAAAAAGTGCAGTTTTTCGAGCACAGCGTTAGTTTTCACACCTAACTTATTTTACTTGATCTCATCCAGCCACTTTGTATTGGTGACAAAGACCATTGGTCATTTGATTCTAAAATGTGTGAGGTATTCAAAGATGTGTGTATCTCAGCTAAGTTTGAAATATACGTGATGTTACAGGTGCCTCATTACCGGTGTACCTGAGTGAAACGTGATTTTGTAAACTTTACTCATTTCTCTAAAACAAAAACCAACCTAATAAACGGAACCATTCTGTAATATGAATTTTATGACAAAAATAGAATTTTACTCATTTCTCTTAACATGAACAATGAACTAACTGTAAACCAGAAAAGATTAGAAGAGAGGGAATTGAAGAATAGGCAAAATGTATTAACCCTCAAGAAGGTACAACAATTTTTTTCAAAAGGGTTAATAAACAATTACATGAAAACTAAACAGCCTCCCCCAACCCCAATAATTAGTTGAAAGTGATTGAGAAAGTTTTCAAAGCCTGGAACCTCTCCCCCCAGAGAGGGGTCCAGGTATCGCAAAAATGCGTTACTACGCCAAAACCCCCAGATTTTCAATAGTAGCATTAGATAAGCCCATCTTGGACGCCCATTGAGCTCCACTTTAACAGCCTGAGGGTCATTTTGCTGCAAACAGGAATTAACAAGATGAATAAATGCAATTTAGGATAAGGCTTTGCCGGAACTATCAAGCAGGAGGGGGCTATTCAAAGGTGATTTACGATCTAAAGGAAAAGACACCAGTCTATTCAGAGCCACAACAGGGCAAAGAGGACTATGCTCTACCTCAGGCAGGGTGATCTGCATCTGACGAAACTGGATGGTTTTGAGTAATAATAGCCCTTTATAGCTGAAACATTGTTAATGCTCAACACTTTATCCTTATGAGGATGTACAGATTTGCATAAGAAATTGCCTGCCCTTAACAGACCATAAAACCCGATAAGGCAACCACACCACACAGAACAATGAAATACATTGTCCATAGATAGCATGCTAGAAATGGTGATTAACATATCCGGACTAACCGGCACAGCACCTTGCTGAGCCTCACCTTACACCCTGCCTAAACCTTGCAAGATATGCTGAGGAGCCCAACCACTAAAAAGGGTCCTCGCTTCCACACTGCTTGTGCAGAGTTTGAACAATACATATGTAACTCTTGATGGAGGCCACACTTAACCTTTAAAGTCTGCCAAATAGGCCAAGTACAGACTGGCATTTTCACATGTCAAAAATACGGGTGGAATGCTTATAACCGTACGAAAGTCAAGGTAACACTGTAAGTGGTGCTGATAAGTTCTCTTTGTGGAGTCGGCCCACCCCTTGATGAGGTAAAGTGACACAGAAGTCGCCAGTTCTGCTTGTAATCTGTGGGGTTGTCCATCCAGAAAAACTTGCGCAAACTGTCCATAACTCCTCCTATGTTAGAGGTACCCTTATTAATAGCAGCTTTGGCTGCCATGTTGTCAGTAAACACAATCACGGTTTTGTTTGAGAAATGGGGTGCCCAACGTTCAATGGCGGCCACAATTGCCATGGTTTCTTTTAAGTTTACATGAGAGTCCTTTAACTCTGGTCTATCCAACTTCCAGTTTGTGTAGAAGTAATCCCCGTTGTAGTATCCAGCTCCCCCTTCTAAACACGCATCCGTGTATAGGGAGGTAATAGGCCTATTGTCCAGAAATGACACACTCCCATTGAACACCCCCATGAATGAGATCCACCAATTCACATCCTGCAGGAGATCTGAAGTTACTTTCAGTTTATGGCTTGGCTTTACAAGTTTGTTGTTGTGGTCTATAAGACGCCGTAAGAATGTCCTACCTCCTCTGACCACATGTCATGCCCAATTGAGCTTGCCAATGAGGGACTGCAACTCACGTTTTGAGACAACAAACTCCTTCAATGAACATGACTACCAATCCTTGCGGCAGTGATAGAGTAATGAAAATGCCCAGGAATACAACCTTCTGCGACGGGCCCTCCACTTTTCGCCAGTTAATGTAGAAAACTAGCTCCCGCAATACACTAACCAACAACTTCAACCCCTTGAGACAGCGTTCAAACGACTCCTCAATAATCCAAAAGTCATCAAGGTAGGAAATCATAGTTATACCAAACCTTGTTTTCATTATGCGACACACAGCACTTGATAAACGTTAAAAAATCTGTTGGGTTTTTGCACTTCCGAAGGGGAGCTTCTTATCATACAGGAAAGTAGTTGGTTGATCACCACTGAATTTCCATGCCAATCCTATCAACTTGTGGTTAGATTCATGTATCTTCACAGATCTGTAAGCACTCTTGTTATAAAAGACTTGTGCTTAATCAGACTGCACGCATCATCAAGATCCATATAAGAACAGGAATTATCACTAACATAAGAATTCAGCCCTCCAATGACTGGCAAGCTGGCGTCATGTATAAGTCTTACAGACCCATCATCTTTAGGAATAGCACCAAGGGCCGATACTATTTCAGGTTTTGCTTCACAAATGCCATAATTTCCCAATTCAAGTTCTTCCAACAACTGCCTTTCCACTTTCTCCCTCTGCTCAAAGGCTGACTTATGGTTCTGCTGAAAAACATTCACGTCACACTTATCAGGTACAATATCAACAATATGAAAACCATTGCAGACGCCTTCAACAAGAACTGCCTATCATCTCGAGGCAATAACCTCTCCCATGCCTCGAAACGAAGGGAGCCAATCTCTCTGCTATCTACTGTTCCCGAGGCAGCCCGTTTTTTGCGGACTGATACCCTCTCTTGTCCGATGTTTGCGGCCCGGGTGGAGGGGATCTGTGCTTTGATGCCCCATGGGAGGGGGCAAAACAGATGGCGCAGCTATGTACCAATCTACACCTTGTGTCAGCCCTATTGCACCCCTCCGCATTATATCTGCGACAGATTACCTTTCCATCTGGTGTAAACGGTCCCTGTCGCCTGCTTTGAAAACTGAACTGGTTAGCAGAACTTCCACCATTAGACCACTGACTATGTTGACCCATTTTCCGGAGGGCAGCACTCATTGGTCCATTTAGTTTAGGAATGAGATAGAAATTCTTGACATCAGGTTGTGGTGAACCCCACGCAAAACCCTCTTTGCACTGTCACTCACAGTATTCTTTATCGAACTGAAGGACACTGTTCCAAATATCGTTCGCTGCCAGGCGCATCACTGTTGTCATATAACTCACATAGCATGGTCGTTCCTTTGACTCCAGTTCCATCATGATTTGGAGGCTGGCATATACCCACTGCTCCACTGTTACTTTTCCCAATGCCTGCTTTCTTGGTCCCCCAACATGCACCTTTGCACCCCCGCCTATATCAATCACGTTGGTTTCCTGAAGAATATCCAATGGGCAGGTCCATACGTAAACAACAATGTTCTTTGCTTTTTTACCTAGAGACTGGTCGATGTCTTCACCGCCTGCTGCTTGACCGAGTTGGGACAGCATATCTCCCTTTTGCGATGCTCTTTCAAGGTCGATTTTCCTTTGGAGTTCTTCCTTACGCCTACGAAGTTGCAGTGCTTTAAGTTCATTTTGCATTTCAATCACACTTGTTTCGAGTTCATCAATGTAGTCACTAATGTACGTTTCCGGCACAGGCTGTAGCGT